GAAAAGTGAAAACAATGGGGAAGTGCCTTAAACATGAATTCTTCTTTGTTGCCTTTAGGAAGCAGTAGGTGTAAAAGCAAAAAATATTTCTGGTATTAAAGAACTTTTACTTTGCCCATAGCAAGCCCTTTCTCAATGGTGTGTTAGTTAGCTAAATCCAATCTGAAAATGCTTTTTAAAGCTACAAGTTTCTGTTCATTTATCAAAGGCCTCAGTATTTCTGTTTATCCATTTTTCTATGACTGGTTAGTGAGTAACTACTACTTCCCAACTAACCAGCCAAACAACTCCTGGAAACCTATTTGTGAAATAGTAACTGTAGTTTGCTCACACTGCTTCCTATGGGTCAGTAAGCAGATTAGGCACTGTAGCAATAATTGTGGTTACTCACCATGGCTCGTAAGCATTATCATTCATTATTTTTGAAGTAATTGATTAAGAATTTATTTGTTGTCTTTTCTTTCTTTCTTTTTTTTCTTCAGTTTCAGACAGGAATTAAATTCACCATGAACTGGAATAAACTGGGATACAGGATGGCAGTAGTATCCTGTGAAGGTAAGCATGGCGAGCAGCAGTTGCCCAGTGACAACTAAGAATAAACATGAATTAAAACCTACCAAAGTAAGAGTGAGGTCTGTCCTTGCATTTCAAATTACATTCTGTCATCAAGAATTCTTCCTGTTTGAATTTATCCTTTCAGTCACAGTTGGCCGTTGTCTCTGGAAGCATGCTCGTACCTCTTGATTGGCTAAGAGCCGTTGAAATCTGTAGTGTCTGTTGATTTCATTTGCATGTCCATGTCACATTACTAAATGCTATAGGCAGCTTGTAGTATCCAGAGAAGTAGCAACACAAACCCTTGACAATCACAGAATATGCAGTCATCTCCAAGAATCATCCCCTGCAACATAAACTGCTAAAGCACCTCACAATCAATAATGTAATGTTATTTAAGGCAGTGTAGAGGCTCAATAGTTAACACTGTCAATTTACAGTGAGAAGCTCCAGGGTTGGGAACTTGAATGCATGGAAAACATCCAGGTAAAATTATGAATGTAACTTGGACTCTTTGAACTAACAATGGGTTTGTTATTGTAGCTGTGTCTTTGAATTTAAACCACACAGGCAGCTGTCATAATATATGGAAGTTTGGGCAAGAAAACTCTGGTAAGTTTTTTTTTCCTTGCTTGCTTAGAAGGCACCTTCTAATGCCATATTTTAGACGTAAGAGTTAGAAAACCACTGTTCTGCAAAAAAAAACAACCAACTTTGATGCCTCAAAAGAAATCCGACCCTTAAAAAGCAGTGGGAGAGAAAAAAAAGCTCTGTGATGTTTTCTGTCTGCTTAGCAACAGTATCAGTAATGAGACAACCCAGTTTATACAGTGACTCAGTGCTGTGATTTCCAACTTGCATCAATATAAGTCTGTTGTAAGGGTATGTCTAACTGTAGAATGACTTGTAAACACTATTTATCTCTAGAGTATTTCTGCATCTAGTATTACCATTTATCAGGGATGAATGTTTTAGTAGATCATCCACTGCCATGTCATTCCCATTGCCATTTTACAGAAAGATCATCATCAAACAAAACACATCAATCTAGTCAAAAGAAGGAAAAAAATCCCCAAACTTCTTTTCCAAATAACAAAAGTCTGTTTGTAGCTTGACAACCACAAATACATACATGCAGTTATTTTCTGTGTACTTTTTCAATATGCTTTAGACATAATGAAGCTCAGTGAATCCAGGGGAAAAATTCTAAAACATTAAAAAATTAACAAAACAAGAAGGATTTTTAGAAAACACATTCTCCTCCAAGGCCTGTGCCCTGTTTTGCAATTATAGACAAAGAAATTCATATCCATCCCAAAACTCAATTGGATTCTTTCTTTACCCATGCTCAGTCATGGAGAATACAAACAAACAGCTCTCATTCTGGCAGAAAAGTAAATCTGGGCAAACTCAACTGGCTACAAGTAAAGTAAGAAAACTGTGAAGACAAATAGAGAATCAACAATCGAAAGACGAAAATAAAGAGAATTAAAAGAAAAAGCAGGTGCCATGTATTAGTAGCCTAAAACAGTATGTTTAACAGAGGTGGGAGGTAACGAACTGTACTTAGTTAGAATTTTCAGGCATCTGTACTTTACTTGAGTATTTATTTTTCTGACAACTTTTTACTTTTACTTCCTACATTTTTAAACAAATATCTCTACTTTCATTTTTAAAACAGGCTCATTACTTTCGGTTTGACACGTTTGAGGGGAGGGGAGAGCCCGTACTTTTTCACTTTTACTCGAATAGAAGTTAACTCAGTACTTCAGCTTTTACTGGAGTATGTTTTAACACTAGTATCTGTACTTCTACTTAAGCACAGGATGTCTGAGTGAAGTAACTAGGAGTATAGAAAAGTACCAATTCAAAATTGCTTCCCCAAGACTGCTAGCTATACTATGCTCCCTGCATCAGTGACCAATCATTACTAACACAGTGAAAAGACCACATGATTAAATTGTCTTCATTAGTTTATTATATTTCAAGTTATGTTAAATGGTGCACATCTACAATATAGTATTTCACATGTGTGTCAAAATGAGTCCTGTTTAATATTACAGTGTTAGCTTAATTAGCTAGCTTACAGCGGTGGATTAATTCTGCTACCAATAGTTGCCATAAATGGGGAGCCAGTTATTCTTAAATACAGAATTAACAGTTCAAGAATTTAGATGGAGGCAGGACTTAGCAAACAATCCGTTTGCTGTCCCTCATTAGTGCTCCACCAGTATTGTAATTTTCAATGCAGTAATGAATTTGGCTAATAGCTCATAACTTTGCAGCTGTGCCATACAAGATTTAAATCATTCTATTGTTTAAACGTTGCTTAATTTGATATATATAAATATAAAATAATAGCTTTAGAAGCCTTAAGCTTCTCTCCCATGCCAAAGAAACCCTTTTTTTCACTACTCTGCCTCTACAGGTAACAGCTGCTGGCCTCCTTTCTTTCAACTCGATTACTTGCCAGGCTTCTCTATCACAGTGCAATCATACACATACAGACACACATAGATGAAGAGTTAGTAAGGGAATTGACTGAGACCTGAGGGGTGAGCACCAGTGTGTGGGAGGCATATGGCGGAGTGGCCTAATGGAGAGCTTTTAGAGTGTATTATAACCAAAGACACCAGTGTTTCATTGGTAGCCTGATGAAGGAGTTGGCTAGTGTAACTACATTATTCAGGTCCCCCTTTGAAACAGTTTGGTACAGTAGGTGCACAGCGCAAATTTGCTGAGCTGTTCAGATAAAGGGCAGCAAAAGGACACCAGGATCCCCCTTTATTTCTTACTCTTGCATCCACATATAAAACAATGAATGCACTAACAGCTGAAGAAAGGAAAACAACAGATCTCTAACACACCCATTGAGTGTATGGATGAACAAGCATTTCAAAAATTGGACATTTCTGCATTGCAAATCCTTTTTTGGTTGATTTTATGAGATATTGAAATATTCTAACATACTGGGATTATGAGTTCACTTATTTCACACATAAAGTGATATTTCACTTTACATGCAGTGCATGTATAGAATGTGATAAAGTTTAATTTTTGAATTCAATTATAAGGAGCAAACCCTTTTGTGCTATTCTAATTTTCTGAGATGTACTAGTACTGTATTACACTGTCACATTGAATTGAAAATGTGCATCATAAGGGTGTGTTTAGATCTGACTGAGTTATGTCTGCAGGAAAGGATGAATTTTGACAGAAATCAGCAGGCAAAACAAGACATAACTTGTTTTTGGAAAAACAGCAACTGTCAGTCTTTTTCACCTCACATACTGTGTTTTGTCTCATGTCTGTTTTTGTGTTTTCTTCACTCTTCGACTCTGCCGTGTCCTCTAGAGAGGTGCATTTCATTTCAAAAACTTCACCTAGTTCAAAGTTTCCTTTAATGAGACCCATCTGCAGATAAAGTGCAAATTATATCCAGCACATACACTGTGCGCTGCACATGTATTGTCAACACTAAACAGAATCCTAATGTTTAAATCCAAAAGGATGCTGTGGTTGCACCTGGAAAGCAATGGTGAAAACAGCTTCTCTTATCTGTAACAGAACAATGCTTTAACTGCAAAGACTGCTCCCTAAAAAGCTGATGGTTGGCTTAGCTGAAGCCAATGAGCTTCAGGGCCGCTAGCTTTGTCTAATTAGATTGCAGATCGTCTGATTACCTCACCAGTTTGTGCTTTTCACCACCTCAGTTTCAAATGGGTGAAAGCTCTGGGACTTCCACAGCCCTCTGAGTCATCTGTCTGACTGTTCTCACAAACAATGTAGAGCACCCTTTCCACAAGGGATGTAGCGGTGTGTGTGTCCATGCATGTTAGCGTGTTTTTCTGAAAATTTTCAGCCTGCCACAGAAAATGACCTTTGGTGTGCCCAAACCTAAATCCTGCAGTACATCAGCTGAAAATCCACTATGTCTCTGCTGTGACATCCACAACTACCTCGATGAATCATGCAGTTCACAAATGTTCTGGAAAAAACCTCAGCATGCCACAGAACAACTGTAGCCACTTTACCAAGCCACCACTTCCCCTGGTGCTGGAACAGAGCAGAGCGCGTGACACAAAGTGAGAATGTCAGCAATTTGCTGAGCTGTCCCAAACTCCACTGTTGAGAGCCTGAAAAAATGTTACCGCTGAGGCTGAGCCTGTAGGGATGTAAAGAGATGAAAGCGCTTAAAGCTGGGCGTTAAATAGTGAGTCACTTCTCAGGTCTCTCCTCGCTAACACGATGGGCAATCTCAGAGATAAACCTGGAGTCAGCATGAAACAGGAGATTTGGTCAAGCTTTTTGCATGATCTGCAAAGTGAGGTGAGGAGTTTTCTGGTGATTTCATCAGTTCTATTGAAAACCGTTTTCCTTCCTAGTGTAACACAGGATTAGTGCAGAAACTGCAAGCCATACATCAGCATGTCCATACTGCTTACCTCCACAAACAGAAAGCAGGGAACGATGGAGCTGCTGCTCTTCACGCCCGGCTTCTCCTCCACGGCCATCCCTCTCTTTGTTTCTTTGAACATCCCCCTGAACAGGCCCAACTTTCTACCACCTTATCCTGAAAGAGAGAGAGAGAGTAAGTCAGATGAGTGTGCTTGCCAGCCCTGAGGTCATGCCCAGAGTACAAGATTAAGTAAAATCCATTCAGGACAAACGAGCTTTGGATAGATCTGAAGCTTTCTTTGATGTCTTTTTTTTGCTGTTATTTCATATGCTTCTATTGTTATTTTGTTGCAAACTCTAAGAGCAGATTGTACCCAAAGCCCTAACATTAGTACACCTACTCTAATGAGCTCACCAGCCATGCTGTGAGCCATCATTTACATTCGATTTTTTAAATAAATGTATTCATTTGTCTTCCTTTTACTGACGTTCTGCCACTGACTGTGAGTAAATATTGCATTATTGCAGTCTGAATTTAAAAAGGGAAAAGCGTGCTGTCATACATTTCATTCATACTATTTGCACAAAATCTAAAGATTTAATATATATAAGAGTGAGAAACACACAAAGATTTTCTCAGAATAGGTCATTTTTGATGATTTTGCTCATTTGTCTAAGAAGTTAGAGATCATATTTCTCCCATGTTAAATTATCCTCATTGGCTCCCTGTTAAATTTAGGATTGAATGTAAAATCTTTCCACACGTCCTGAATAATCATATCTTAAAGACCTTGTAGTACCTTATTATTCTAATAGAGCACTTGGCTCTCACACTTCAGGCTTAGTTGTGGTTCCTAGAGTTTTGAGAAGAGTTCCTTATCTCTCTGTCCTCGTGTTTTTCCCCTTATCTCTTTCCCCTCATGGGAGAGGACTGCCCGTCCCTTAGCCTGGTTCTGCTGTCTCTGTCTGTTTAAGGGGATTTCTTCCTTCCCTTTGTCATTAAACACTCGTTGGGGTTTTCTATCTAATATTGTTGAGTGTCTTCTATTTATATCACCTGCAGATTTTTGCTGTTATAAACTGGAACTATATAAATAAAATTTAATTGAACTAACTGCACAACAGAGTGGTCTACACATGTCCCAGGAATTTTATGTAATAAAATCCCAGAAATACTGTTTCAAATGCATAGCTGGTACAATATTGGCATAAAGCCACAACAGCCCACCAAAGCTAGTTGTAGAGACAGACAACATTACCCAGACAATACAGTTTATTCAAGATCGCGATTTAATGAGTGTAAACAATTTAATTTCTGGGAAGAACATATAGTGTATTTGGATGTGTTTCTTTTGTTTGTAGAGACTGCAGAAATCATAGAGCTGTGAATAGTGTGAATAGTAGGTTTTGCCAGCACTGGGTTGTAAGGAGGTTTTACACAATTGTTGAACTATTCCTTTTTTGGTTGTTTTTTTTTCCATTCAGCAATCAACTGCAAGTAGTTGAGCAACCACTTCGGATTGCAAGTGGACAGAATCACAATCATAGCCAGCTTAGACTGACTGCAATTTGGGAACATTTGCAAATAACTGCCTTCTAATTTCTAACCACAGACAGATTGCCAACACTATGCAATTCTTCGGAGTCAACCTGTGCAATGAGGGCAACTAGTATTTGATCTTTCTCTTTGCAACAGGAAACTTGACTACACTAGCTGCAAATTGGTTGTATTTTTGTTATATTCCCATATAAACGCAAGGCTGCAGAGCACCTATGTCATCTTGCAGTTAAATTGTTGTCCTGCAGCAACTACTTCACTCTTTGCAGAGGAATTTCTGAATTTCTGTTTCAGGTCTATGAGCTTCTGGCTGGACTATATTTTCATTTCTGTTTAATGAGAATTAAACAGACTGACTCTGTCTTGTTGCAGTTTTAGCACCTTCTCCTGACTGTGAATGAGCAGACCATGTCCTAACACCCATTCAAATGCAACAACATTGCAAGTTCACTGCAAACATTCACAATAATTTTAGTCATGCCATTGTCTGAAACCAGTTTTCCCCAGTGTCACTGTAACATATCCCACAATCTACAATCTATCTGTGTCTTTATTAGGGAAAATACAGTGACACACATTTCAAGAAAAATGAGGACAGAAGGGAAAAATCTTTGTGTAAAAAACACAAAAAGACAAGGATTGCGAGATTGTACGTGCCAGCAGCATGTACAGTCTGATTTCTGTTGTCACATCCAAAGTGAGTAGGAGTGCTCAGCTACAGTTAGTGTTGTCTTTCTGGTTTTATGACATTATCGTTTCTAAAAATGTCACAGGCTTGATATAGACCCTGAAATTTCCTGTTGTCAAGTTCACTTTAAACACACATAAAATACACAGACAGTAGATGAGAGAAGACAAGCAGTAAGAAATAAAAGATTTTCTTCTTTGTTTTGTTTTTTTGCCCAGAAGTTATCAGATTGACCTCTATCCTGTTGGTGAGTAGTGTGTTAGGTGCCGGACAGCTTTCCTCCTCCTAAATTCTTCTGCACTGGTGGAAAGAATAGGCCTGAGGGATGAATAAGGCATGAAGCCAAGCTCTTAGCAGCCCCCAGAACAACGCAATGTGCCAACCAAGACTGCTTTTAGAGACGGTTGGTTGTCTGGTTGTGTGTGTCTGTACAGCTGTGGGTATGTGATACTTGTCCAAAAAAAAGTAACTGTCAGGGTGAACAAGCAGAAGCCCCAGGTAATGGAAACCAGCAGTGAGGAGGAGAAGAGAGAGAAACAAAAATAGAGGGAAGAATCGTTCCTGTTACTTCTCCTCTGGAGGCTGATGGGAAGTGTTACTTTGTGTTTCATTTCCGTGGTGGGAGGCAGCACAATGAGACTCTCTCCTACAGTTTGGCCACCGGGTGGAAAAGTGAGTGGGCGGTAGCAGATTTCCTGTAGATGTAGTCCTGGGAGAAACTACTCAGGTGGCCAATGATGAGGCGGAGAAGCTTTTAATGATTAATATCTAATAAGTGGGACATCAAGAACGGGAATAATAAAACCTGTCACGTTCCTTTGGGGTATAAGCAAACTTCTGAGCCATCCCATTTGATATCGCTATTATATTTTTTCTCAGAAGTGTTCTCCAAGTGCTGATTTGGGTGGCAGGCTTGCAGCCTAATTAGTATGGGAAAATCTGTCCGCTGCTCAGCATGCAGCACAAAAACAGAGCCAGAGGCTGACATGGATCTTTTTAGTCTTACTGTCCTTGCATCAGGTCAAGAGCATTAATCAGTGCTGTGCAGGTTATTCGAAGAATCTGCAGCCTTTTTGCATAAATCTCACAGCTTTAGATATTCTGACACAAAAAAATAGTGCAGCAACATTAATTAGAATGTATGAATGTATGTAAAATGTATCAGATCATCCCAAGCCATGCAAAGCTAATGACTTACTATATTCACATTATCCATCCATCCGTTTTCTCAACCGCTTATTCAATTCAGTATCCAGTCAGGCTGAAGCTTATCCCAGCTGTCACAGGGTAAAAGAGGGGGAGGCCCTGGATAGATCTGTATTTACATCATTAATTGGAGATTATGTATCTGAATTTTAGGAGCGGGACCACGCCTCCAAACACGCTCCTTCCTTTTGCCATCTATATAGGTTCCCCCCAGCAGGGCCGTGCAGAGAGGTTTAAAGGGGCGGGTGCTCAAAGTTAAAAAGGGGCACATTGAAGCAGGCTGAATAACAACAACACACATTCATCAAGAATCTAATATGGGCAACAAGGCAAAGCAAACGTCGCCGATGTTTTACCTGATGGGTACATGGTAAATGGCCTGCATTTGTATAGCACTTTTCTAGTCCTTAAGGACCCCAAAGCGCTTTACAATACATTCAGTCATTCACACACAGGCGATGACAGCTACATTGTAGCCACAGCCATCCACTGACAGAGGCGAGGCTGCCGGACACTGGCGCCACCGGGCCCTCTGACCACCACCAGTAGGCAAACACGGGGTTAGTATCTTGCCCAAGGCTATTTGGCATGCAGCCAGGAGGCAGCCTGGGATCGAACCACCGACCTTCTGATTAGTGGCTGACCTGCTCTGCCACCTGAGCTACAGCCACAGTACAATGTTGCTGTTGAGGGGTTGCTGCTCCTGCTGCTGATAGTGCTGGAGGGCAGGGCTGTGCTGAGACTGTAGACATTAAAAAGTCCATAGGAGAGATGGTAGCTGATTAAACAAGTATCATGAGATAATAACAAAATGCAAAGATTGGTGACAGGGCTTGGAACCATAAGGCAACAAAAAACTGTGAGAAATAATTTAGGCTCTGCCTGTGAATCACTCTTTGCTTCTCTTCTTCCTTCCATCCCATCATTTCATATATCACTCTCCACTTGCTGTCCATCTGAGAACAAGGCACAACTTGCTATTGCAATAAACTATAATCTAATTATCCACACCTAACAACTCTTGCACTTAATCTAAATGATGACAGAAAAATGTTATAGCCCTGCCTTTAGTAGCCTCACACAGCTCCTACTGTTTCCTCCTCATGTCCTTACCAGCCATGTCTGGACAATGTTATATCATGAGTAATTTTTTTTTTTGAAAATCCATCTAAATAAAACACACACATGCACGCACACACAGTGACATTTTAGACCTTCTTCAGAATACTGTATATACTATGGGCATCCTTACATTATTATTTATTACTAGAGCTACAATAATAAAGCAATGAGGAGGGGGAAGTAATAAATATGAAATAATGTCATTATGATGATTCCATTTGTTTCACTATCCACTCTGTGCAGGGGCAAAGCTTATTACATTTTTAAACTGTAGAGATACAATAATGTTACTGCTGTAACATCCAAATTTTGTCTTATTTAAAATATAAATCTAATATAATCTGCTTCTTAATGTATGTTCTTTAAAATACAGCGTGTGTTTTTTAAAATATTATAATAATGCATAATTATGTGGACATGCATATTAGATCGTTTTTAGTGAAATATAACCCCTTGTTTCAGTTTGTCAGTTGCAACAAGACAGCTTACCAACGTGTACGTAATAAGCTAATACTCCTGTGTGCTATACACTACAGTGTACGCTGTACACCTACTTACTGGTTTTGTAGCATCAGTCTGTGACTCTGAGTTAACTTGTGTTTCTCCTACAGCTCCGGACCGCTAAAAATGCGCGTGCTCTTTGTGAGCTCGTTCCCGGCTCGTAACCAGCGCGTTCTGCCGTCAAGGGCGATCATTGGTTAAATGTGATCATGTAAGCCAGATCCTTTTATTTAGCAAAACTGTGATTAATAGTTAAATATTATTGTTGAGGGGCACAGACAGGACTCCGCACGCACACACACACACATTAAAAATAATAATAATAATAATTTTAAAAAAAAAAGTTGCCTCAACAAAAGGGCACTTTTGGCACCCATCAGGAAAGGGGCGGGTGCTCAAGCCCCTCTAGCCCCCCCCTCTGCACGTGCCTGCCCCCCAGTTCTGCAAACTGTTCATTCTCGTTTACGTGCCCCACCCTCCTTGTTCTCAATTCTTTAACTGCCTCAGCTTACAGAGTAGAGATGGACCGATCCGATATTACATATCGGTATCGGTCTGATACTGACCTAAATTACTGGATTGGATATCGGAGAAAAATAAAAAATGTAATCCGATCCATTAAATATCACGAAAGCACCTCACAAAACTTGCAACACACCGTAACTCGCCTCAGAACGTTAGCACGTCGGAGCAGTATGCATCACGTGATAGAGTGGCTGTGGCATGCCGGACCTTCGCTAGCAACCCGGCATTTCATCTCCGACAAAGTTATCGCCGAGAGAAGTAAAGCAAGTGTGTAAGTCCATCTCTGAATGTTTGTAAAGCATTCCTGCGTTAAGCTTAACAAATGATATATGGAGCGACTGCCTCTTCTTGCTGCTACTTCAATCATGAAACTGCTTAATGATCAGATCGGCTTTTCTGTCGCGAGTCCGTCTCTCTTGTTTGTTTTTGGCCCACTTTGCACCAGAAAGAGGAAACCAGCGGATAAACAACAGCAGCACATTTAAGCTTGATAAGCTGTTGTTAGAATTTATTTAATATTACTTTCTACATCAGGATCTTTTTCTATGTAGCTCACGCTGGTAACTGTGCAGGGGCGGATCTAGCAAAGTTTAGCCAGGGGGGCCGATAGGGCATTAACAGGGAAAAGGGGGCACAAAGACATACTTTTCTTTCTTATTCTCATTTAAAATGTCTAGCTTTTAATAAATAATTATCTGACACCCAAAGTTTTAATTTGATGTAAAATGAATAGAAGTCAATTACTGTATATAGTAAGTCTAATATACCCTAGTAAGCTATAGTACTTTTTCCTTTGGGAATGTACCATCTGTGCAGTCTGCAATTTTGTTGAAGAAAGATGTTGAATCTATTTAATATTTTAATATATTGAAAAATAATTGATTTCTGTGCATTTTTTTCCACACTGCATCAAATTAAGGTTGATTACGTCGATTAAGCATCACGAGGTGGAGCGTGAGGGGTGGTTCCCTATTTTTTATTTATTTATTTTTGTGGTTGCTGGGAGTTGGAATCCTATTAGTTAGGTTGCTTAATATTTACGCTAAGTACTCTTTAAAATACCAGAATAGGGAGGATGGTGTAGGTTTAAGTTTATTAAATTGATCAGTATTGCTGAACTATGAAATTTTTTTTTTTACATACAGGTATAACAGAATAGCTTTAGTGTAGTTGTTGTTTTAAACTTGAGTATGAACTTATACAAAATGCAGCAAGATATTTAAAAAAAACAGTTTTGTTGATTAAAAAACACTATATTGGATTCATATCGGTATCGGCAGATATCCAAATTTATGATATCGGTATCGGACATAAAAAAGTGGTATCGTGCCATCTCTATTACAGAGCTCTGGCTTCAGGCTTTATTGGAACCGATACCAATAGCTTGATTTGATAAGGCTTGGGACCATTCGGATCCACACTACACCAGTGTCTGCTTCAGGGGCCTGTGAAGGGGAGCACTCCACCACCTTGAAAGAGCTCTGTGTGCATTAAGATTATGCAGTCTCTTGATCGGTCAGGCTAAGAGGTGGATATTTCCCTTTGGGAGACCAAAAGATTTTGATGATTTTGATGATTGCAAGCAGAAGTTTGATCCTCACAGTCCATGCAGTGTGTTAACTGAAAGCAGGGAAGTGATATAAACTCGAGTGTATCCTTTGATGAAATGGGAAAAAGTTGAGTCAGAACACGTATTTAAGAATTTTTTGAATCAGTGGCCCAAAGGGTGATTCTGGATTAATAAATGTAATGTGCATTTGACAGACTAACAGAGATACAAATGATTCTGTGAAGATTTCATGCAATTATGTAGCGACTGGAGATGCCTTGTGGTCAGAACTTGGTCAGCACTACTTGAAATAAAAAAGCTGGAGACAGCAGCATAGTAACATTACCACCACTGGCATTTTGAAGGTATAATTACAAAGAAATGCAGGCATGTTGTAGTATACTGGGCTCAGACTACCCAATATTATTGTCATGATAATCACCAAGTCAGATTAGAGCATTATAGAGACATAAAATCGTCTTTTGCTCCCCAAGCAATCATGCTTGACCCCTTAAAAGATACCAGTGGGTAGGACTTGGCAATTTATGATGCAGGCTGTCTACTCAATTTTACAGTTCTTGAACTGATGTCCTGCGTGACTTGAATTGACCAAAATTGGGCTGGTATTGTGCAGTCTGAACCTGGCAACAGATAAACAGGATATACTGCAATTTATATCCTTTTTCTCCAGCAAAGTGGAGCCCTTTATATTGAGATTTGTTTGGAGAGAGAGGAAAAGAAGATCTTATACCCTGATGCAGTTTTGGAGGGAAAAAAAGTGTCAATGACTTCTTAGTTCTTAGATAACTGCAATCAGCAGGTCATACATAACTGATCCACCTCGAACTGCAATTACTTACGTTCTTGAAAAAGTGAGCCTGTGGCAGTCATTTAGAAATGCTGGTTAAAATCTGTTTCTGTATAGCAGAGTGAGTGCATGAAAGTGAGAAGCGGTCCAGCTGGTTGTTTAAAAGGTCCATGTGAAAAGGGGCCTAATCGAATAGTCCATCTATCAATTAGAGAAAATGAAATCAACCTGTCAGCAGACACAATGATGGTGAGAAACTCCCAAAACAGACCAGAGACAAAGAGACTTTGTTGCATAGCCACACACACCAGCAATACACCCATCGGAATATAAAACATGAGAGAACTGAAATCAAAATGGTGGAGATGAGAGAAGCAAAGGGAGCAGCAGAGGGGAAAGTTGAATTAACACTAGCAAGCACACACACACGCCTGCACTTCAGGGGGAGCAGGACATTTGAATCGTCTGCTGCTCTGAGGACTCCCGTCAAAGAGTAGAGACCCAGGCAGCCATATGTCCTCTCTTTTGCCTCTGCAGTCCACCACCCTGCCCCAGGACATCCCTGTGCATGTAAGCACACACTTAGACACAACCTCTCTCTCTATTACACACACACACAAAAGCTAATTGGGCAAAACAATCTGGATCATGCTCACTCCTGCTTTACCAAAGCATGCTCTTGCATGTCTTTTTATGCAAAAATCCACATTTGTGCAGCGGTAACATGAGAGGATGTGCAGCAGCAATGCAGCGTTAAAATACCAACTGTCAGTCACCCGTTCCTCTATTTCATGTCTGCACCACAGCCAAAGACATACACGAGCTGCAAACGAAATATCCAAGACTTTGTCAGCAGAGTATTACTCTGTATTTTGGACACTGTTTTGGACCATTTGCATGGAGTCAGGTGCCAGAACATGCGATCAGAGCAAACTGTCGAATACCTCAGCTCGCTTTTGTGTGTGTTCAGTGTGTTGAGATTTATTTATTTTTTGTCCTGCAATTGTCAAACCACTCACTTGCAGTTCAGATTGCATGCACAGTCCTACTCAGCACGCTTCTTCCACACATAGAGGCTATGTGTGAACAATGCACCTATCCTGACACCTGAGTTGAGTCACAAACAAACAGCAAACATCCCACTCCTTTGACTAAGGGGCAATCCCTTATACTATTAAAAGAACAAAGTAAAAGGGTGAGAGTAAAACCATAATAGGATTTGCCCGGTGCTCAATAATTAGGGCTTCTGTTTGGGGAATACCACCGAGAGACACTCCCCCCACATTCACACGACTCTTAGAAGAAGCACGTAACAGCGGGTCTTTGACCGGTTAGGGTGCAGAAAATCCAACAGCGGCTGCTCCGTTACAGCATCCCGGGCAGGCATGCTGTTCAAATCATCCCGGCATGGGAGCGAGGAGAGGAAAGCCTCCCCGTCTGCCTCTTCATTCACCACTCCCCCTCCCTCCTTACCTTGGATCTGACGGTTGCCACGGCACCAGATTCCTAAGCAGTGGCCATGTCAGAAGAGATGATGAGGGGAAGTGGTGTGAAAATGTCCTTCCACCCAGGTGTCTGCCCCTTCTCTCTTTCTCCTCCTTCTCTTCCTCTTCTTCCTCTTCTCTCTCCTCTCCTCTCGCCTGCTCCACAGCAAAGCGTGAGAGAGCTGATGAAGGGGACGGCAGCAACAGCAGCAGAAGAAGCAGCAGCAGCGTCAGTCTCTAAATCTCACACACAAATACACATGCACACACACACAAACACACACACACGCTCACGCTCCTTTTAATTAGCTTGTTCCAACAACCAGCGATGACTAATAAATCAAGTGGCAGAAATCACCTCCTGTGCTCCGCTGATCGGATGAGGAGACACAGAGGACAGGGAGAGAGTGCAAGCACATGTGTTCGAGGAAGTAAGAGTGTGTGTGAGAGAGAGACAGTGATCTAGAGCATGAGAGAGGGGGAGAGAGAGAGAGAGAGAGAAGGAGAGAGAGGAAGGGAGGGCATGCATTGTGTGTCAGCTCATTTGTATTCAAAGCTTGTTTTGCCTCTCCATCCCTCCCCTTCTCTCTCTCCCTCCATCCATCCATCTCTTCCTTTATCTAACTCCCTCCATCCATTCTTGGTTTCTCTTCTTTTCCCCTTTTACTGTTCTGTCCTTTGTGCATTCACGTAAAGGACACAAACTTGACCGGAACATCAGAGGAAAGAGGGGTCAAGGAATTCCACAGATTTAAAAAAATGGGATGGAAGTGGAAAGGAAGGTTTCTCATGTGTGTGTGTGTGTGTGGAGGGGGGGGGGTTGTTAGTTTGTTTATAAGGTTTCACAGCTGCATGCCTCCAGCAAAGCACACTCTGGATGTGGGTTAATGATACATGGCTGGCTATTGATCTAGGTCAGAGCTGGTAGCCGAGAGCCAGGCTGGACACTAGTGCACGTTTACCCCAGAGGTGAATGAAAGTTTGCTGTTGTGCAGAGAAAAAAAATACAGAAATGCAATACAAGCTTGGCAAAATGTTTTTAGCAATCAGTATTTCATGTAGATTTTAAAGAAACAGACAATAAAACAGCAAAACAAGCATCTGACGGCCCCTTCTTCATAAAGCCCACCAGTTCTGAAGCAATGCTTCTCTGTAAAGGGTCAGGACAATGCCATACTGACAGCTGAAGACAGGAGCAGCAGTGGCAATGTAATGAAGAGAGTTGCAGAGAACTCTCATCGCTTTTGGATGAGACAGAAATATCTTAAAATTTCCCAAAATAAAAAACATATTGTTGTTATTAGCAGCAAATGAATGCCAAGAAAACAAGTTTCCAGAGCCATTTCTTTGGCATTCGCTACTCAAATGCAACAAATATAATAAGCGTCATAGGCACCATAACAAAAAAATACAAGCTTTCTTGTTGGTAGTGTCCAAAACAGCTGTTTCTGTATAATATGAATGAGAGAGCTGGTGGGTCTTCAAGAATAAAAATATGTTTTGGGGGAATAAGTATAGCTGGTCCCCTTTAAGTCACTGGATGAGCATTAAAAATCTCAGATCTGATTACCTTTTGCTAGAAGCTTCAAAAGTCAGGTTTTTTCACTCTTTTGTCCACTTAGACATTAATAGGATGTTGGTGTCTGCAGCTCAGAGGTGCAAAAGGAATCAAGGTTGCTCTTGGTTGAGGTCTTAGGTCTTTTTGTGTGGTAGGCTCCTAGTGGCTTCCGCTATGCCCAGTCTTCATTAATATAGCATTACCTTTGGGGCATTAACAGCCCGCAGGCTTATTTTATGCACACAGCTCCTGACCTATTTTAGGATTGACAATCCATCAAAAAAAGAGGCGAAGAACACCAGTAACCCAATGGTGATTTAGTTTCTCGTGCTGGTGAAACTGTTAGCATTGTAAGTAAGTAAGAATAAAGGCCACAAATGGGCATGGACTAATCAAATAACCTTCCTGTTGTGCAATTATTTACCTACAAGTAGATGTGGAAATCAAATCTAACAGTTTGTGAAATTCATCACTATTCTCTGTCATTCTTTTCAAATTACCTCATCACTGGGTTTCACTTCCCCTCCTCCAGTGCTGAGTGCACTGTCCTGACTTGTAGGGGTCTCAGTGGGATTGTCATAGTGGTAGATGAGATATGGGCTGAGCATCTTAGAAATGAGAAATCTGCCTGTTATGGGGCCATTATGGTTTACAGCAGGTTGGATGCCTGTCCCATGGGTCTACTCTCCTCCCGCCCATATACCCTGCTCCCTTTCTCTTTGTCCAACCCCCTCTCTGACTGCTTTCACCCACGCCAAGCTTACAGTGGAAACCCCACAAACTAATGCTAATATATATTGTAATATATCTATATCACTAAGCACTTCTGGATGGATGCAAACTGCATTTCGTTGCCCTGTACCTGTGCATGTGCAATGACAATAAAGTTGAATTCTATTCTATTCTATTCTAAACTATGTCCATGACTGATGGAGAGAGAAGTCTGAGAAGGTGAAGGATAGAGAAGGGCAAAAGAAAGAAGAGGAAAGGCCAAAAACGAAAGAGGTCCAGACCTCAAGGAGAATTGACTGAGCTGTTTCTGTGTATGAATTGGGTGTTTCCATGGAAACCATTGCAATCAGAACCATACACAGGAAAACGCACATTTAGTCATTGGAATCAGGTTTGATGTAGGATACTGTATGCACATTTACTTATTCGTGCGCACTGCAGTTAGAATCCAGTAAAGCGTCTGGAGTTTAGTCTGGTGGTAAAAGTTAAGTCAATGCAGAAATAAAAAACAAACAAACAAACAAAACTGCAGTTCCACAAATAGCCACTTGAGGCTAACTCAAAAATAGAATTAATTCCCACTAACTCCCATGTTAAAATGTCCATTGTTACAGCAGAATTAAAAATGTTTACAGCTTGATTTTGGTCCCTTGCCAGAATTTTATTGCTGTGTTGTGGTTAATATTATATTATTATTTTGTCTTAAAGTTATACATGACTGAAGATGGCTGTGACTGCTTTGTTAGGCTGCTAGCTGTAGGCCTTACCTCAGCTAATCTGAATGACTGAACTAGACCTCTTGATTGTGGTTGTTGTGTTGGGTTGAATTTTAGATTCTTTTCAACACAATTATCAAAGAAGTGTTACAGCCTGGTTTGAAGTTTGTGTTTCAGTTTTGGTAACTGGATTTCTGGTATTTCATTAGCAGTTACTTAGCTGTAATTAGCGGATTAGCAGCAGGGTTGCTAGCTTTAGCTGATAACTAACCTTTCTATCTTCTTGTCGAATTGCAACACTTCAGAATTCAATAAACCAAGATGGAAACAATAAAATGCCAAACACAAGGCTTGAAATTTATTTTCAGTAGGTGAAGTGACAGTAGCTACATCCATCTTCTTAGTAATGGATAAACACCATCTGTTTTTGCATCTATCCAACCAGTCAATCTATTACTTGTAGCTAGCTGTTGCAGTCATTTATCCTTTATCATTTTTTTTATACAAATGACTCACTTACTAAATACCATGGTGGCTCTGCGGTGTTTCAATAAGACATTATATAATAATGCTGGAGACTTTGATGAGTTTGTGTAGTAAAAATGAAGCTACTGTAATTTCACTAACAAGGTAATAAGAAGTTGGGCTTAATACGTTTAAAACAACAGAGGTGTGAAACTTGCATTCTGACAAGATTGTTCTTAATGTTTTGTTTTATACTTATAAAGATAATATAATATATTTATATTTTCTCTGCACATATGACAGTGGTATGAATGTCTACAAGAAAATAATTCAAAGGATACAAATGGCTTTTTTCATACAAGACAACCATGCTTAAAGTATCCAGCCACATACTGGGGAAAAGTGGGGCACATCAGTAGGCTACATAACATTAATAACTCATTTTACACCCATCATTTAAACATAAATGAATAGAGACAAACATTATCCCTCTATTACCACAAACATCATCCTGCACAGCTCCCCAAACATCAACTCACCAGCACAGAAGCCCCCAAATACCTCCTTGTATCATTATGCCAAGAGCTCCAGCTGTGGTCGAGAAGGGAAATTCATTAATCAGCCTTAGAACAAAGGACCACATTCCTCCGCTATCCCCCCTTTGTCTGTTCATCCCACTTGATCCTGTGCTAATTCTTCCAGTAAAACTGAGAAAAAAGCTCTAATTTTGTTTCTCAGTCTTGAACCAGACCAGTTAGATCACATCTGTATATTAATTATTTTGAATATGGCAACTTTGACAGTCTGTAAGTCTAAACACATGAATAAATAGTAGATATCATTCTGGTGCATAGTTTGATTTGTGCTTGGTAATGTACATTTATCTTAAACACAGCTGGACAAACATAAGGAAGTACAGTATTTAGCAGCTGTTCCAATATTTGTAAAAAAGTATCCAGAAGAATTAAACTGAATTAACCACTCATCATGCAGTAGATTTGTGGCATGTTTAGCAGCTCAAGTGTTGACACACAGATACTGAGTGGCTTCTTCAAGAGTCTTCTTTAAATTATATGAAGGATTTCCCTTAAAATAATCATTTCATACCATAGCCTCTTATCAGAGGTTTTACCATGGAACTGTATGGCTTCTTGTTAGTCATAAGAAATGTCCCATTGCCTGAAAAAAAAAACGCCATTAGTGACAAACCATCAACACTACAGCATGCTTCTGCAAATATCAAGGTGGGGCCTACAGCAGGTGTTCCTTCCTTTTCACAGTGATTGGAAAATAAATTCCATCTCATGCGATTTGATTTCTTGAGCTGCGGTCGGCTATTATCACCCCCACCTCTTTACACAGGATCAACTGAAGTGGTCCCTTGTTCATGTCGGAATGCTATAAACCCCTCGGGCACAGAGGGAAATGATGCATGTTATTGTGAACACACCAGATGGGGTCCCGAAGCAGAGAACGTGAAGGTAGAGCAGCAATCTTTCTATAATGAGATGTAAATGGAGGCAACTCCAAGCTAGGGATAGTGACAGGCTCATTTTAATGGATAACAGTGCAAAGTAATGTAAGTGACAGGTAGCAAACCTGCATGAAAATAAATCACATTTGTTAAATTATGCTCAGCACACAGCTCCTCTCAGAATCTAACCTATTATTAGTCCCACCAGTCAACATTAAAGTCTCTAAAATCAATATTTTTAACAATAACATTGTTTCAGAAGACTGTATGTGATGTGAAATGAGTCACGAACCCCATAATTATCATCTACCTTTGTTGTTTTCCTTAGTGCCACAGCTTTTTATAAGCACATCTATAACACTGCTTGAAAAATACTTGGAAAATCTATTGTAAATCCCTTTCCTATACCAAAAACTACAAAAGGCTAAGATCCTAATTTACATTAATTTACTTAATGTAATCTTAATCTTAAATACT